TAAGCTGACCCTTGGATTTTTAACCAAAATATCATGAAAAATGCATCACCTGTGCATTAAGCCAAATTTAATTTTCATAATTGGCTTATTTGCAAGTATATATGGTAGTCACTCATGACAGGTGGGATTAAACTCAAATGCCTCTTTCCATTTTGTTAGTCTAATGAAAAATAGGAATAAAAAATGGAAAAAATATGATGGCAATAGGAGAATTTTAAGTATTCAATTTCATTTTCCCTAACTCCTCATACTTGCTGGTTGCTATCTTTTAACTCCTTGTATTACCCCTTGAAATGATATTATGTATTTGTGTCTTTCACAGTAGTGGTTCTTGGAATTAAAGATAGTAGTAATATAACAGTGAGAAGCCAGGTAAACTATCTATACATGCTGCACATACTAATTTCAAAACCAGCTTCCAATTTGAAGACTAGCAAAAGTAATAGCACCTAAACTTATATACCGCTTCCCAGTGCTTTACAGCCCTCTCTAAGCAGTTTACAGAGCCAGTATATTGCCCCCAACAATCTGGGTCCTTATTTTATCGACATTGGAAGGATGGAAGGCTGAGTCAACCTTGGGCCAGTCAGAATGCATTCCAACCACCTCACACCACGGCACGGAAACTGTAGGACTATGCATAGTTTTATTCCATCTTTTGCCAATGATCTCCAAAAATGTCTGGACTCAATTTTAAAGGTTTGGTTCATTCTCAGCTATGAAGAAAAGCAACTATACATCTTTGTTCTAACACACTAATTTATAAATGGAAAGAAACTGCAGTTCAGCTCTCTTCATCCATTCTCATGATGATCGCCATACAGATGGCTGCTTCTGTTTTCTTCATTTGGCAGACCCAAAGGTCATTACAGTGAGGAAAAACAAATATCAAAATATAACATGGGACAATCAATCCACACAACAACTGCACTTCACCATGTGCTTAAAACGGTAAAAGAGCTGGCATTCAAATGCCACTGCATATGGATAGGAGGCAATTCTTCCAGTTCCAATTTCTATTTCCAAAATAAAAAATAAAAAATCCTGATGATTACAGCACTTATTCCTCTTTATGGAAACATGTTCCAGATACTTTAATCTTACAACAAACAAAATTTGACAGGATATATGAGGATAACCTGCAAAAAAATCCCAAACTTTTAAATAGGCAGAGCACAGAAATATGGTTCTGCTGTATTTATTCTCTGCATGTAATGAGTTTTATTATTGATGCTGTCATTTTTAATCTATTTTGGTGAACATATATTCTGCAAGGTGATATGTGGGCTGTTGTTGTTATTTGTCTCACTTATAGGGTCCATTTGTTTTGCATTGTGTTTGCTGCAGTTCATGTAGCAAATCTGTCAATGCACAGGGCAACAGGGAGGTTTAATTTTCAAACAGTTTGTTACAGAAGCCGATGCTGATTGGCCTTAAGAGAAATTGACTTGCTCAAGATCATCCTGGTGACTTCTGTGCACAAAGGAAAACTATAACTCAGGATTCTGCATTCCTCATCCGGCACTATATCTTACTGGCTCTCAAAAGGCGATATATAAGTAATTGTAATTTAAAAGAAAAAAGTCAGCAGCATACAATGACAGAGGCCTGGAAAGTAGCAGGCAACAAACAAAGGAACTCTGCAACATGCTACTGGAGGAGAAAAGGGAAAATATTTGTAAGAGACAATAAAGGGGAAGGAGAGGTTCTAAAAACAGACTCTAAAATTGAGGCTACCCGAGAAAAAAAAATTTTTTTTGAAATAGAGAGAAATTGGAAGTCATGGGAGAAATATACATCCCATCAGATCTTCTGTGCCATCTCAGAGCCTTCTTCTGGCTACTATATTCAGCCTCCTCTCTGCATCTGAACATGAGCTGTTACAATGCACTCACCAATGTGGCGGTTAGAACCATCCAAGCTAGCAAATTCAATGTAGTCCTCTCGTGCGTCGGCCCAATAGATGCGGCTGTTAATGTAGTCCAGGGTGAGGCCATTGGGCCATGTGATCTTAGTCTCCACAATGACACTCCGGTTGGTACCATCCATGCCTATCTTGCCAATCAGGGAATGGTCACCCCAGTCAGTCCAGTATAAATATCTGGAAGGGAGCAAATGGAGTGGGCAAGAATGGCATAAGCATAGGACTACCAGGGTTGTTGTTTTTTTTCATCCTACCATTTTCCTGCAAATATTAAGTCTGCTTTTTTTTCTTTGAGGGGGAGGGATCAACCATTGATCCATTGGTTGTGACCAACTAGCTTTTTTGTTAAGATATTAAGATTTAAGAACTGACCAGCAGTGAATAGCTGCCAGATGTAGGCTGATGTAACAAGAGTGATTCAACATAGTATGGGTATTTCCCTTTAAGACTGGAGAGTAAAGATCCCCTTAAGAGATGTGTATATAAAAGGCAGCCATTAGAGGGTGTGGTTCTCTTTCCTTGTGACCAGTATTCAGTACAGAAGTTCTCTGTGTGTTAAGAGGAAGAAAAGCTTGCTTGTATTGTATTTTGCCTACCACGTGTATATTATCTGTATATAACTGTTGTATATTAAACCACTGTTAATGTCTAAGTCTCTGTTATTGCTCCTGGGTTATCTCATAAAGGTAGTCACACTGCCAAACGCTCTGACATTTTTGCCTGAACCTGACATTGCGGCCTGAGAGATGAGTGACTGGCCCAAAGTCACCCAGATGCTTTCATGCCTAAGGTAGGACTGGAACTCGTAGTTCTAGCCTGGTGCCTTAAACTCTAGAGCAGAGCTTCCGGCCTATGGGCCAGATGCGTCATGCGCTGCCCATGCCTGGTTTAGCGAAGGGGAAAAAATTCACGATATGTCATGTGACGACAATGTGATAGCATGAGTTTGATACCCCTGCACTAGAGCAAACTGTTAAAATCTTAAATTCACAATGGTATAAAACAATACAGGTAGTCCTCGTCTTACAACAGTTTATTTCGTGACTGTTCAAAGGTGAAAGGCACTGAAAATGACTTATGACCGTTTTTCATACTTATGACCTTCTTACAGGCAGAGTCAATGGGGAAGCCAGATTCACTTAACAACCGTGTTACTAACTTAACAACTACAGTGATTCACTTAACAACTGTGGCACAAAAGATCATAAAATGGGGCAAAACTCACAATAAATAAACGTTTAACTTACTTAGCAACAAAAAATTTGGGCTCAGTTATGGTCATAAGTTGAGGACTATCTGTATTGTAAAATTTTACACGGTACCAATAATGGGCAACACATTTATTCCATTAGAGAAGAGACACAAGTTTCCCTATATAACAAGATATAAAAAAAGATCCTATCCCCCTCCAAGAAACTTTACACATTGGGAAATATTATTCCTCTTCTATGAAGCCAAAGCCCACATCCCTCACTGCAGAACAGTTATCAAAACCTGTAGCCAATTCATGCAACCAATTCTTTATCTAAAGGGCTCTCACAGAGGAGAGATGTCTGCTATTTCTGCTGCCCCTTATCTCTTAAGCAGAACCTGACTGTCCTTTGAAAGCTGGCAATAGGTCAAGAAATGGCCAATTCCCAGAATTTTCTACTCTGGTTCAAGAATTCTAAAGTTTCAGCCTTCCGCTATATGGTTTTACTGACTAAATTAATTAGTTAACTGTAAAAGAATGAAACATTACATCATTCATGCACTGGGGGTGTCAGGGATGAACAAAGCATGGGTAAAGAAAGGTGCCACCCAGACTAAGGAAATGAACCCTAATGTATTTGGGAAACTTACCCATTCTGTACATCCACCACTAATGCTCGAGGCTCCCGGAGTCCTGAGTTCACCAACACGGTGCGGTAAGCCCCGTTGAGCTTTGACACTTCAATAGTATCCCTTCCCTTGTCACACCAGTACAGGTTTCCACCCACCCAGTCCACAGCCAGTCCATCGGGATTGCTTAGCCCAGTGCGGTGTAGGACCTGCAAGTATAGAGGAGAAGAAAACAACAATGTGGATATCAAAGAAAAGGAGTAAGTGGGACCCACTCTCCTGTTAGGGACCAGCAGGGTTTGCCTTAGAATGGGAAGGGATAGGAGTTTCTTGAGTCTGGAATGGAAAACTAGAAGAGCTGATCATCCCCTTTCAGGAAGGAACACAGGCTTCAGCCAGAAGTCAAACAGGCCAACACACCTGGACATTGCTGCCATTAATGTTCATGCGGCGGATCATACTGCCCTGTGTGGTGACATCAGTCCAGTAGATCATTTGTTCCCGGTAGTCAAAGTCCAAAGCTACAGCGTTGTTCAGCCCCTAAATCCATCAAGACAAAAAAAAAAAAGCAATTTTGACATGTGGCTAAAGGAATACACAATTCCAGAATCTGTTCAGACGTTATATTTGGCCCTCACCCCCAACATTACCTGTTTAAGCAGTGTATAGTTGGAGCCATCCAGACTAAGCTTTCTTAGGTAGTATCGATTAGCAAAAATCAAGAAAGGTTCATCATCTGTTAAAGGAAGCAAAGGAGGGATGCCAGAGGGTCAAAAAATACTAGAAATTCCCAATGCTCTTCTAATTTCCTCATTTGTCACCTTCCTATCACTTGCAAATTGAATTTCCTGTGTAGATACAGAGAGATACTTCAATCTCTCCCATTAATTAAAGAGACAAGAGGAGATTTAAAAGGTTTATTTATGGGGAGCAGGGAACTATGGTAGGCAGTACCACTTATGGCTGGTAGCTTAGTGATCATTCAAAGTTACAATGTCCCTTCCCTTGGCTACTTGCGATTCAAAGTTCTGACGGCTGCCCTATGACCCCACAGTTATGTGATTTGCATTTTGAGTGCTTGGTAACCAGACCGCATTTACCATTTACACGTGACCTGGATTTATGATGTTTTTGCCGGAAATTGGCATTTACTTATGGTTTCGGGGGGGCGGGGAGTGGGGAGGCCATTGCAGAAAATGGATTTGTTGAATGACTGCCACGTTCACTTTGCAGCTGTTGCATTTACCTAACAACCAGTGCAAAAAAGGTCCTGAAATCTGGTGTGGTTACCTGGTAACCCGCTTAACTTTTGGCACAGCTTGTATGACTGTAACTTCAAGCTCAATTGTGGTTGTAAGTCTAACCCTACCTGTGTGAAGATGATAACTGCTATATTTGTAACTTCCACAAAGAAGTTGTTCTTCACTTTTTCTTTTACCCCTTTATAATCTTTTTCCCCCTATTTCTTCTTCATCGTTTCTGTGGTTTTAAAAATCTTTGTAAAGTTTTCTTCTAATAAAAATTATTTTAAAAATAAATAAAAAGAAGAGGACTAATAATTCACTGAACCGGACACAAAGAGACTGAGACTGAGAAAAGAATGGAGCAACATTGTTCCTCAGAGTCTCACATTTAAAGCTGGAATTTCTAGGAAAAAGGGAATGCAAGGTAAGAGGAAACAAGAGTTTGCGTTTTGAGTTATTTCTGCAGAAAGACTTCTTTATGTTCTGCCCAGGGTTTGTCTTAAATTGTTTCTTTTTTGTGTGTGCTGCTGAGTCAAATCTAATGTTCCAATTTACAAATTAGAAAAAAATTGACTGTGTATCCTTGGTCTTGAATTACAATTCATCAGGCTGGCTGGGAACGTGGTAAATTTTATTTACAGTCTTTTGGTAGTCCGTATCTTTAACTGCATCATCTTCCATCTTGCAGGGGGGAAAAGTGTTTTATTTAGAGTGGCCCAGCACAAGCTTGTCATCTGCCTGGAGCATTTATTTTTTAATTATGGATTTTCTGTTTAGCTGCTGTTTAGCTGCTGATTCTGATCAAATAACTCACCTAACTCCTTTTCTACAATGTTGTATATATAAATTTTAAGGTTTAAATGGCAGTTTTATATTTATCTATAAAAAATGTTTATCTGTAATAAGATTGGTCAATTTCCCAAGCAGGGAATCTAGGGGAAAGAGCCAAAAGGTAGCATTAGTAGACAGTTTTTTCCTGAACGCCATCACTCTGCTAAACAAATAATTCCCTCAACACTGTCCAACTATTTACAAAGTCTGCACTACTATTAATCTTCTCATCACTCCTTATCGCCCATCCCCTCCCACTTGTGACTGTATGATGGTAACTTTGTCACTTGTATCCTACGATTTATATTGATTGTTTCCTAGTATGATTTGATTGCTTATTTTAACCCTATGACTATTATTAAGTGTTGTACCAGATGATTCTTGACTCTGACAAATGTATCTTTTCTTTTATGTATGCTGAGAGCATTTGCACAAATTCCTTGTGTGTCCAATCACACTTGGCCAATAAATAATTCTATTATATTATATTATTACTGAAATTATTTCAACTTTTGCACTTTTGATACAAAGAAAGGAAGGATACAAGATGAGGTATCCCCTAAAAAATAGTGAATGACAGCAGGAATTATGAAGTTACTAACTCAGCAGGTAGTGGGGTTTGATTATTAGACCCAGAAGGCTTCTCAGATAAACACAGTACTAGGAAAGGCCCATGCTAAATATATACACAACAGTGGCGTTGAACAGTTTTTTTCATTAGAAGTCTTTTGAAGCTGAAACAGAGTTCCAAATTTGATATGGGTTGTTCTGACTCATGAAAAGTATTCTGAAGCTCTCTGGATTATTTCTGAAGTGCTCCAAGCCCCAAACACTTCCACCATGGCCGAAACATAGGACTAATTCCAGTGAGGTCAGAAACTACCTAAGAGACTCTCTTTCAGTTTGTTGTATCTTATTCAAGACTCGGTCCATCGAAATAGATTTTTTGCCAAACCCTAAATCTATGACTCACGGCCCCAAATGCCAGGAACCTTTGCATCTCATAAGAGTTGGTATTACCTGTGACAGCTTTGCAGCTGGTTGGATCATCAGGCTTCAGAATGTAGCCCTCTGCACACATGCACTTAAAGCTTCCATGAGTGTTGATGCAGATCTGGCTGCAGGGGAAGGTGGTTGTGCACTCGTCAACATCAATGCAAGTCTTGCCATCATACTTCAGCTGGAACCCAGGGCGGCATCTGCACTGCAGGGGCAGCAGAAAGTCATTACATGTTTATAGGGAGGGCCCTAGGAAATATAATCTCTCTCTTTTCCCCTTGACTTTGTCTACAACAAATTTACTTGATATTACAGCTTTTCTCTACAATACTTAGAATCCAAAATTTCTTCAATTTCATAATGCCTTTCCCCTTTAACCAAAATTGGGAGTGGAAGTGATTTTTCTATCGGTCTCATTCTTGAACCTTGAACAGACTCCAATAAACTGCAACTAGGGGTGAATCCGTTTAAAATCCCTTGGCAATTGCAATTTAACCATAACTGGGTTGATGATTCAACTGGCAGGATGAGATAGGCCAGTGATGGCTAACCTTTTCGGGCTCCTGTGCCAGAAATTGTGCACACGCTTGCATGCTCGCACTCGCATGCCAGCACCCAGAAGGCAATGTGTGCCTCCCCTATGTCCCCTACGCATGCGCACGCAATCCTCACCACCCCCACCACTTTCTTACCTGCACTGCACCTCACAGCTGATTTTCGGCCAGTTTGAGGCCTTTTTTGGCCTCCCAAAGGCTTGAGGAAGACTTCTGCAGGCTTCTACAAGCGTTGTAGGCCAAAATCTAGCCCTGTTTCATCACTTCCTGTTTTTCCGGAAAAAAACGGAAATAACAAAACGGGGCTAGATTTCAGCCTACAAAGCTTGTAGAAGCCTGCAGAAGCCTTCCTCGAGCCTTTGGGAGGCCGAAAAAGGCCTCAAACTGGCTGAAAATCAGCTGTGAGGTGCCCACATGCGCAGTGAGGTAAGTTTGCCTGCAGCTTGCTTGCCGGCACAAATGGCTCTGCGTGACACCTGTGATACATGTGCCATAGGTTCGCCATCACGGACATAGGCTATGGATAGGCAGAAGATACATATGGATCTCCTGCTAATTCTCAACCAGGATCAATCATTCCCAACTAGTCAGCTGTAGGAGTAATTTATCCCTCTGAAATTCTGTTCTATATTATAATGATGAAGTGAAGGAAATGTTGCACAAGGCTTTCTAGAGAATGCCTATGAGTTACATTCAACTTTAGGTGCAGATGTCTGAGCTGTGAAATCTCTATTTCTACATGTAGAAATATTTATTTGACATATTTAAGAACCTAAAGTATTGAAAGTTTTATGGCATATCAAAGTAGATTCAACAAGTATTGGCCAAAGTAAACTCAACGTATGGCCAATACCCAGATCTTCTTGAACTGAAGTCATATATTCTGCCCATTAATTTATAACTTCATGGTGGGAACAGTACATCAAAATCGCCACTTCTAACTGCCTGATCAGAGGGCCGGTCTTGACCCATCCTCTTCCCCAAAACAGAAAAAGAAACTACAGCCCAACCTTGTAGCCGATTTTGAGGTCCTCACACTCCTGGGAGCAGCCAGTCTGCTTCTTGTTCAGGCACTCATTGATGAAACAGTTCAGCTCATCAGAGCCATCACCACAGTCATCGTTGTTGTCACAAAGCAAATTGTTGGAGATGCACTGCTCATTGTGGCAGAGATAAAAGGTATCATTGCACTTGCTCTCTGAAATGATAGTGAGAAATCATTAGGACTGATGTCAAAGCAGTAGGTTTTCCTCCCACCCACCATGTAGGTTTCCATATTTACAGCTTCGAAGCCATCCCACAAGAGCTAACAAGCACAACCTTCTCTGCCTGTGAGTCAACCTGTCTCCAGCCACAATTATATATTTAGACAACTTTCTGTAAACATGACACCCAAAGAGCTTCATCACAAAGCATCTCTCCCTCTAAAGTTCCAAATATATCACTATCCATAATATTAAACACAATTGAATAAAAAGTACTTGATGTTAAAAAGTCCTCACTATCAAAAAAAACATATCATTAATAATTCAAGCTTAGACTGAACCCTAATTTGTTCACTCAAAGAGTGCAGTTATTTTATACAATTCTGTTCCAGTTAGGTAACAAAATGGCTACAAAATCTCCCGCAGAGAATGTACTTATTTACAGCTTTATAAATGAAATACAACTTTTTATAGCTTTAAAAAAATGAATATATCATTCATCTGTATTCATGGAACAAGTCTAGCAATCAAGATAAGACATCTCTAGGGTGATATGATCAGCTCCCATACTAGGTAACAATCTGGCTCCTCCCTCTAGATCAGGGTTGTCAAACTTGCAGCCCATGGGCTGGATGTGTCACTCACTGGCTACACCCACACCCAGTTTAGCAAAGGGGGGGAAAGTAATGATGTATGTCATGTGACAACGTGACGCTGTGTGTTTGACACCCCTGCTCTAGATTAATTGAAAATTCTCAATGCTTTTAAGTATATAGAATCCTGCTGCTAGATTACTAATTAACTAGGAATAGACCAATTAAAGAAGTGCTTCATTTTGTTCTCACTCTTTCTGACCATGGCTATAAACCAACAATAGGTCACCACCCCAACCCCAACCTCCTGGAGACCTACCAGGGCTAGAACATCTTGGATTCTTGGGGGCTTCGTCAGATTGGTCATGGCAGTCAAACTCGCCATCACACTCCCAGAGTTTGTTGCTCAAACACCGGCCATTAGCACAACGGAACTCGTTGGCACTACAAGTGGGGTACTCTGGGGAAGGCCAAAGCAGAGGAGATAAGAAATCAAGCCATGAAACAACAGTGTCTCTTTTTATCATGTAACAGGATCAACATATGTTTGAAGAACACCCTATCTGCTTTACTCTACGTAATATTATGCAACATGCAGAAAGAGTAAAAAGTAGTGAGGCAATGAAGAGATAAAAAAAGAAACCTAACCAATCTTAAGACCAGCACTGTTTACTGTACTTCTCTATATTGTGCTATCCTTGCAAATTATCCTTGCTCCCATAACATCAATTCATACATTTTCATTCATTAACATTCCCACCTCTCTCTCTTTTTGAGGTTTTCGTCAACTCTGTCCAACCATAACTTCTTTCCTTTCACTCACTCACCCTTCTTTTGTATATCTGTTCTGTAATTTGATCCCCATTTATACTCTCCACATAACCAAACTACCTAAACAGAATTCTTCAATGCTAGTTACTCAATTTTGTATTCAGTCTATAGTCATTCAGCACTCACACATTCCTGGCCTCTCTTCTATTTTATGATATACACTTCTTCAGAATTCCAAACCAGCTGTATTCAACTTATTTTTATGTTTCTTCTGTCAACCCTAAATCTCAATTCCAAGTGACAAAGTAGATATAGTCATCCATGACCATTTTCGCTTCTTTTGAGAAACATATTGGATACTACCCACCTACCAGCATTTGCATGTATTAGAAACGTCTCCATTTTCCCACCTTCAATTAACATTCTACTGAAATACACAAATTCATCAGCTTCCTCTGGGTTTTCACCATTTATGTCTAACCTGCAATTTTTCACTCCATTTTTCTTGTCAAGCACAACTACTTTGATCTTTGATAGATCAATTTTCAGGCTCCTACCCTCCACTCCATCATGCAATCTATACAACATTTACTGAAAAACATTATGAGTTTTCAGCAGGCAACATGGCATTGTCTGCATATCAAAGTATGCACATATTCATGTCTCTGACCAACATATCTTTACTGCTGCCTTATAACTTATTCATAAATATACTGAACAGATTAAATATCACACATCCATGTTACACACACATCCAGGTTAGGTTTATAGTCATTCACTTATAGACATTCACTTTCCCAAATAGGTGTGTCTGGAGCATGCATATAAAACACTCAGCCCTAGTTAACAACTGAGAAATAATTAGGAACACATACAAATCACTTTCAACCAAACAATGGGGCACTTCAGGTTCTGGTAGAATATATGAAGATCCAATGAATTCAAAGTGGCAGTAAAACTTTACTGGTTACAGTGTGCATTTGTTCTCTCACACATTTATATAATTATTCTCACTTATCCAAGTCCTTTTCAACCAAACTAGCCAGGCATTAGCTGCAACAGTCCACACACCTTAAAATTGCCAAGTGTGAAAAACACCAAGCTAAAGGAATCAGAACTTATCAAATCTAGATCCAGGATGATTAAAAGAATGGGTAGGCTTCACCAAGTGCCCCTTTTCTTCCAAAGCCCTGGATTCACAAAACTGATAGTTGTGAATTGATTGTGGAAGGGCACTTTGTATGCTCAGCACCTGGCCTCCTTTGTCTGTCTTCATGTGAAGTTTCTCTTTTGAACATTAAAATACACTGCTAAATGACCTAACTTGCAAAGCAAAGTGAAAGAGTCTGTGATATTACCTGTTAGCTAAAAATACAGTATGGTTAAGGGTTGTCTGTACTGGCTTCTGGGCCCCCAAAAACCGCTTGCTCACATGAGAACCACTGTAGCACACTGGTTCTCAGGGAACAATTGGGGAATGTATTTCACACATAGTTAATGTTTAATTACAATCTAATTTCTTCAAATCAAGCAATCAAAAAAGCCAGCAAACTGTTTCCTGATGTGCACATTTCCCTCATAGATTTTAAAAATTATCTACATAATAGTATTAAATAATAAATTAAAATTTATTTTTTCTCCTTTGAGGTTGATTTCACTTGCCCTCGGGTAGCCAAATTTGATTTGGCAGCAAGCTAATAAAAATTGGGCTACTGTGGCCGCTCTCATGGTTGAGCATTCATTCTAGGCTGGCACTTACCACAATCAGGGGATTCATCAGAACCATCGCCACAGTCATCATCGTGATCACACACAAAATGTTTTGGGATACACTGCCGGTTGTTGCACATAAACTCTCGTTCGTCACAAGTGTTGTTATATACTGAAATCACAGATTACACTGAAATCAGTTAACGCCTATTCCTCTATGTAGTTCAGTTCTCTTTACTGTACCACAATCACTTTTTTATTCATTGCGAATGCATGACATGTGTACACTTTAATAAAAAAAAACCTGTGAGCAAATTCATATAGTTACTTCTTTCCACTGTTCATTAGTTCTTCATCACTGTCATAGAAAAGAAAACCAAAGATGCAACTGTTTTGTGAATGAAAGTGAATATATGTATCCCAGGATAATGTTGCAGGATCCAATCTGAGTTGGTCACCGAGACCAGAGGGTTTATCTTCCAAGCTTTTTGGACACGTGCTGGAACCCATTTTCAGGGAGCTTCTCTGTAGCAGTGTGTGTGCTGTTCTCTGTGTTGTATTTATCTGATTGGTGGCTGTTGTATGTGGCTTTTAAAATGTTGATTGGGATATGTTGATGGCTGGCTTTTAAGTCATTAGCTGTCATTTGCTTGGGCTGCCCAGCTATCAAGTACTTAAAAGACAAGGGCTGGGCAGCACAAAATGATTTAAAAGCCAGCCATCAACATATCCCAATCAACATCTAAAAAGCCACTTACAACAGGCACTATAAATACCACACACAGAACAGCACATATTCTGCTAGAGAGAGATTTTATTTATTTTATTTTGTCAAGCAATTATAAGATAACAGGTATAAGTATAAATATAGTTATGAATACATGAAATGGATACATATAAGAAAAAAAAAAGAAACAATAGGACAGGGATGGTAGGCACTTTGGTGCGCTTATGCACGCCCCCTACAGACCTCTTAGGAAAGGGGTGAGGTCAATAATAGACAGTCTAAGGTTAAAGTTTTTGGGGTTTGGGGAAGAAACCAGAGTGAGGTAGAGTATTCCAGATGTTGACCACTCTGTTGCTGAAGTCGTATTTCCTGCAATCAAGTTTGGTGCGGTTAACCTTAAGTTTGTATCTATTGTGTGCTCTTGTATTGTTATGGTTGAAGCTGAAGTATTCATTGACAGGTAGGACATTGCAATATATAATTTTATGTACTATACTTATATCAGACTGAAGGTGTCGTAGTTCTAGGTTTTCTAGGTCTAGAATTTCAAGTCTGGTGGCATAAAGTATTCTGCAACGAGTAGGAGCGGAGAACTCTTCCTGTGAAATATTTCTGGACTTTCTCCACTCTATTAATATCAGATACGTAATGCAGGTTCCAGACTGATGAGCTGTATTCAAGTATTGGTCTAGCAAAAGTTTTGTATGCTCTAGTTAGTAGTGTGATATTAGCTGAGAAAAAGCTACGCAGGATTAGGTTAACAACTCTTAATGCCTTTTTGGCTATGTAGTTACAGTGGGCTCTAGCACTTAGAGTCTTAGCACTTAAGTTCCCTGAAGATGGGCTGCAGCATGAGTCCGAAAGCTCGGAAGACGAAACCTCTGATCCTATTGACTGACCCACATTGGATCCAGACAGCATTTCATCTCCTAGGGAGAAAAAATTGTTCCCCTGACTTTTTGGGTTAATCTACCCGCGCCACTACCACTAGAGGCAATGGTGAATTTCTGCTCATTCTGAAGAAAGAAGAACATTTCAATTTCATTCTCTCTGGGATGGTGCTAATTATACAACTCATGCACGATACAATGAAACTACTGAAACAAAATGAGATGCACCAAAATACTGGCACTACATGTGATTATTAAGAATATGATCAAAGCAAGACTGCGATTTATACAGCTGAAAATACTATCAGTTGCAGATCTTAACTGCATCATTTCCTCTTTGCTTCCTGTGACAGACTATAGAAATAGGGCATCTAATTAGCTCAATACCTTAGGCCTTGTTTTATCTGGTAATGCACATGTGAAATGTATAAAACTGATAAAGGAAGTCAAAGTAATTTTGTACTCTGTATATTATTTTATCCTGAACTTTCCCAAAACATGACAGGAAAACCAGGCTTTTTCACGAATAGAACTTCAGATAAGCTTCTGATCGAAACCATCAGAAAAAGATGAGGTACCCAGCTTTGGGTGATGTCTTATAAGGAGTGATTTGGTACTTACCATTTTTGTTTTCTTTCCTCTATAATAGGCAGCCTTTACCACTAAGTCCTATTTCTAGACACAGTGGGAACTGTATACCAAAATATATCGACAAGGTCTTGTTTACAAAGATGAAAGGCAACAGCAGTTTAGCTTGCCTCTTAAGGTAACCAACAAAATGAATAACAGCAAGAGCTCATCAAATTTCCAGCAGGGGACTCTAATCAAGTAGAGAACGTTCAGAAGAAGCAATAACTCACAGCATCCAGCAGCCACAGTTTCATCAGCCCCATCAGGACAATCTCTATCTCCATCACATAGCCAGCGCTGTGGGACACACAGGTAGGTGTTTGGGCACTGGAAGGTTCCTGCAGCACAAGTAGTATGATCTAAAGAAGAAGAAAAAAAGAAAAAAAAGAGGAACGGGTACTGAGCCTGACAAAATCAAAAGTCGGGAATTTGTGATTTTTCTCATCACCTTCCCACATTTTTTCTACATCATATGTGCATTTCACACATCCACCATTTTTTTTTCAGCTGCTACTGGAACTAAGAAATCTTTAATCTCAGCTTTTCTTTTCCTTCCTTTTTTATAAACAACACTTTAAAAAACCTTTCAGAACAAATCAAAAATTACTTGAATCAGGAGCAAATTTTTATTTCTTTATGGAATGTAAAGACTACTTCAGTCATCTGACTTAAGCAGTGTTTAGGAGCATGAGATGAAGCCAATACAACAGTAAAATACAATGAAAGTGTAAATCAACAATGAAAGTGTAAAGTTACAATTAATCATAGAAGTGGTTATAATATTCCAGGCATCAGGAGTTCTACAGTGTTCAAACCCAAAAGCCATCTAAAGAACCATCAAGCTTCCAGAATGCCATGACAATGGAAGCTACCTTTGCGGGGTTGTGGGGGGGCAGAGGGGGAGAGGAGAAGGGAGAAAGCAAGCTGTTACAGAAGAGGGGAAGCCCTTATCACCTGTCACTATAAGCAGCAACTTCAGCAGAAATGTGCTTTGGGCTGGAGCAGGGAAAATCTAAAACAAACTAGGGACTCTCAGAGACAGCTAAACCCTGAGCCATGAAGTTTTACTAAACCAGGACCTTGAATGGCATTTCAGAAACAGAAAGGTAACCAATGCAATCTCATAGCTATGGCATTATATGACATATTGAGCCTGTCCAGCTAAGTGGAGAGCTGAAAACAAACTATAGTGATTAAATGGGAATTGACAAGGGTATGCATGAGTGGCTAATTTCTCATCCAAAATAATGAGTGGGCCGAAGCTGATGATATCGCGGAACTCTACAGTACTGTATTCTGTTAATTTCTGTTGGGAAGACATCTTGAGTACTAGAAGCATCACCAGAAATAATTTCATCAGAAATCATACTCTGAATTAGGCATTACTTCAATCTTGCACTGAATTGCACTCTTTAGGATAATGTATAAGCAACTTGGACTAAAAAATGTTCAATCCACCTTTCAACACCGATTACCATATTTGTTTCTTTGATTTGTTACGAAGCATCTCTCATCACAATCAAAACCACACAGGTTATTTTAAAGTAGTAAATGGCATGGATGGGCAAATTAAGGCTCTGGCACCAAACCTTATCCCTAGTTTCATTTTAGACTCTCTGTATTCCCCTTTAATCACCGTTACTCAAGATCGATGGAAGTTTCCTGCCTTTTTTGAGGTAGAAATCACAAGGGAACTATAGCCCAAGTTATATCATAGATTTAACATTTTTTAAAGAAGGAAAAATAAAAAAATAAAAAAATCAAAGAAAAATCTAAGTCTACAAACCCATGACCATGGTTATGACAGAAATCTGCCCACTTGAATAATTACAATAGCAATAGCATTTAGATTTGTAATTGTCCCATAGCACTTTATAGAACTCTCTGGACAGTTTACAGAGTCAGCATTTGGCCCCCCAACAATCTGGGACTTCATTTTACCAACCTCGGAAGGATGGAAGGCTGAGTCCACCTTGAGCCAAGTTTGAACTGAGCTCCAGTTTGTGAGCAGAGTTAGCCCGCAATACTGCATTCTAACCACTTCACTTACTACAGACCTTCAATCCTGTCATGTTAAGAGGATCTCCCAGATACCAACTGATGGTTCACCTCATCAAACACTTGATTCCTTTCATGATGTCACAAACACCTTGTTCTTAGCATCAATCACTCAACCTTTATCTCTATCTATTTCCATCCACTCCTATCCAACTCTTTCGATACATCCACATTTTCCTTTTTGTATGTATTTTGTTAAGTTCTAACTATTTTTACTAGCTTGTCGTCTCTTCTTCCTAAAATCAGAAACAAAACTTACGGCAACGGTGGTCTTCATCAGAGCCATCACCACAGTCATCTGCACCATCGCACACCCACTGTTTAGAGATGCACCGATGATTATTGCATTCAAACTTCACTGGGAAGCAGAACTTATCTGGAAAAAAGAAATCGGGCATTGTTATAGCCACTTCCAAACAATTCCAAAGTTTCTCACAAAGAAGTCCACAAAATTGGAACATTTTTTTCCAGATTTATTTAGTGCATGGCATACCGTGCATGGCCTAGCAATATATATTACCATTTCATCTAGAAGTCAATAGAAAGAAATGTTAAAAAATCTACGTTCAAATACCAATATCTAGGCCACCTAACCGTTGAAGCACAGCATCGTTTATATTTTTAAAAATTAGACATTGGACCAGAATATGCTCTCAGCTTACAGCTGGTCATGACGATCTACAGTTTGATGTAGGATGCAAGGAATTACACTGAGGGGAGGATATTATGCCCCATTTACACAGAGAGTCCTGACAGACACCATATGTAAGGTGCAAATCCTATTCAGGTTAGCCACTGCTGGTAGCCAGACTACTTTGTTAGGCTTTCCTGGCTTTCAAAATGCATGGCAAAGAAATTGAAAACAAAAACCAGAAATTTCAGGCCCAAATGACTAGAGAGATTGCAAATGTTTTCAATTCCCCCCCCCCCCCGAATTTACTGATTATTCTATTTTAGAAACTCATTTATGGAAAAGAAAAACAACACGGTGACTTACTGCAGTGGGTTTCATCCTCTCCATTCTCGCAGTCATTCTCTTTATCACAAGTCCAGGTCATGGGAATACATCTCCCACTTGGACAGGCAAAGTAGTTAGCTGGGCACTTAGATTTTCTTGTGCCTGGGAAAGACAATGGGCCAAAGTGGGGGGGAGGGGGGGGCGAATAGAAAACAGAAAATCCATTACATTGTTGTTTTGTTGGTGGGAACAGAGAAAGAGAAGTATTACACAATGGTCAAAGGTTCTATGTTGGTATCTTTGTCATCAGATAAATGAATGGATGGGGGCAAGCAAAGGCGAAGGGCATTCTACATTTTGTTAGCAGCCAAGCTTTTTTTTTTTTTTAAAGGTATAATTAAACCTACAGGCAGACTAGCAACCATACACAGAAAGATAAGACAAACAGACACACATACATATACACACTCACTCCTCTACATTTCTACTCAAGAAGTCCCTAGAGTAACTTACAAGCAATCTAAAATGTAGCAGAAAAATCCATATAAAATAAACACATGGCTAAAATGCCCCACAGCAATAAAAACAATCAGTGTGCTCTACTGATTCCAAAAATTTACAATTACTTATGTTCCGTCTTCCAAGATAGCAATGTCTGAATAGTTTAAAGAGCAAGGCAAAGGTCCCCGGTCTCACTAGAAACTTTTCCCCACCCTGTAAAACCTCTTTTTAAGAAAAGGGAATATAGAGTACAGACTTAATAGATGGGGTATGTGTGCAGGTAAGACTCAAATGGCAGTGGGGATGGGGTGGGGGAGTGGGCACGGGCAGACCAAGTGAGGGATGAATGGTGTGTGTGTGTGTGTGTGTGTGTGTGTGTGTGTGTGTGTGTGTGTGTACTTCCTGGTTATTCACATTTTAGATCATCCTTCCCTTTCCCAAGATAGTGGAGTGGGAAAGATAAGGTTGACCGAGGAAGGATTCTTATTTAGCTTAATGGCTAAGTATGCTAGCCTGCTTGTATATACATATTCTCTGAATGCTTGGTCCATTTCACCAGAGTTCAAGGCCCTTCGGGGGTTTGGATGGTGAGAAGGGTGGTTTTCATTGGAAGATGCTCACCTGGACAATCCTGCTCATCTGAATAGTCGCCACAGTCATTGCTGCCATCACATACCCAGGATGGAGCATAACACATCGATGTATGCTCACATTTCTGAAAATTTACATTTTTCACTCCCAATCTGAAAAAGCTGCTACAGTCAGTGGCAGCTACCAAAAGAGAAGAAACAAATTGAACGTATGTAAATTCTGAGAAACTTACTGAACAGGCCTAATGGAGCAAAAGTACTCCTACAAATCATGCCATTGCCAGTTGCATTCAAAAATGTGGAGCCGCAGAATAATGTCATCTCGATCTATAACCCTTAGTAGCATTCATACTGCAGTTATTTTATATCCTGTCTTTCAGGGTACAGTTCTCCACAAAGAAGCTTATCAGAATAGGCACAATTGAAAATAAAAACAAAGAATATTTAAAAACAAAGAAGGGGTTGGTGGGGTGAATGGGAGAGTGGCGCTCAGAGGACACAGGTTTTTCTTTATCAAATAGGCAGGCACATTTCAATGGGGGAAAAAATGTTATCTCTTCCACATGCTTGGGTGTCATGTATAGTAGCAGCCAGCATTGGAAAAATGGGAAAACAATCCACTAGCTAGCTTGGGTTATACTGTTTCCCAGAAGCCCTTCCTTTCACCAAAGAGAGGGACTTGTGTTTTGGGTGCTTGATGAAGTATCTTTCCTCTTTGATAGTGTCACTCATCATACAAAGGAAAGCAGGTGATTGAATATTAACAAAGGAGTTCCCCAATTACAATGGCAACAGAGTACTAAGGCACATTCAGCTTGATGTGATAGCCCATTTTTCCTAATTATGTTAGCCCCTCTTATTGGTATACCCCAGCAATCCAATTCTGACTCAATGGTATAAAATATGGGACATTTTAGTGTCATGTTCAATAATGGAACTATGATTCTTGGCATAGCTGCATAATCGACATCTCTTGCACTTTCCCAGCTTAGCATAACAAGAACATTTACTATTGAATTTTCTTGAAGAGGTCAAAATCCACAAGGTTTTCATAGAGATCACCCCTTCCAATTTTTCCACATCAGAAAACGCACCGCTAAACACCTATCTAGGACTATATTAGGGATTTTTGGGGGGTGGGGGCTCTAGAATCCCAAAGCATTCCTTCTGAAGGCAGAGTGACCTTCACTGGCCAAAGGCCACAAGGATTATCTACAATAACTTACAACTAGGAGTGGGATTCAAAAATTCCAGCAACCAGTTCGCTGCCCAGTTGCTGGGTAGAACTGGCCATGGTGGGTGTGGCCTACTGGAACTTCTGGTCGGTTCAAACACTGGTTTGGTGAACCAGATGCAAATTTAACATCCACTTCACCCGAACTGGTCCGAACTGGTAGAATCCCACCTCTGCTTACAACCATACAGCCATTCCAACAGTTTGAAGTTATAGCGGCACTGAAAAAAGTGACTTATGACTGTTTTTCACTTGCAACTGTTGCAGCATCCCCATGGTCATATTATCAAAATTTGACCGCTTGGCAACTGACTCATATTTATGACAGTTGCAGTGTCCTGAAATCACATGATCACCTTTTGTGACCTTCTGACAAGCAGAGTCATTGGGGAAGCCAGATTCACTTAACAACTGTGTTACTAACTTAACAACTGCAGTGATTCACTTAACAATTGTGGCAAGAAAGGTCATAAAATGGGGCAAAGCTCACTTAACAACTGTCACGCTTAGCAACAGAAATTTGGGGCTCAATTGTGGTCGTAAGTTGAGGATTATTAGTACTGGGTGAGTGAACTGACTAGGTAAAGCCTGCATAGGATTATAAAATGGGGGGGGCGGTGAAAAAGACATCTTATCAACATTTTATGTGCCTACTGTGCAACACTCACTGCAGTTCATTTCGTCAGAAGCATCTTCACAGTCAATCTGTTGGTTGCAGCGGCTGGAATTGCTAATACAGGTCCCATCCCGGCAGCGGAATTCAGCAGGAGCACAGCTTGTCTCTGGAAAGAATGGGCCAGACCAGTCATTATGGGTCATTCTGGCAACTGCCTTCATTTTCTCTTGCTGCCCTTCCTCCGGGAGGAAGGCAAAATAAAAAAACATTGCCAGAGCACTGGCAATATCCCTGGGCTAATTCCCTTTCTTCCCTTTAAGCCAGTGGTTCTCAACCTGTGGGTCGCGACCCCTTTGGGGGTCGAATGACCCTTTCACAGGGGTTGCCTAAGACCACCGGAAAACACATATTTTTGATGGTCTTAGGAACCGAGCCATAATTTTATGGTTGGGGGTCACCCTAACATGAGGAACTGTATTAAAGGGTTGCGGCATTAGGAAGGTTGAGAGCCACTGCTTTAAGCCATTTCCCAGTGTAGGGATGGCCTATAAAACAACAGAGTTTTCAAACACTGGATGAGGGGGCTGTTGCAGGAGGAGGCTGTGTGAGCTTTAGCATTTGGAGGCAACCAGCAGAGCAGACAAACAAGCAGCTCTGCTGCTGAATTTAGGAGCGAAAAGGAGTAAAACCTTACAAAGGCAAAGCTCATGCGTCTTAAAGAAAATGCTGGTAACAAAACAGAAAAACAATTTTTTTTCTGTGTCCGGTATTTAATGGGAGCTTTTAATTTGATTGACAAGACAAAAAAGAATCCCGCTCCCCATGCTCCAAAATGTCCAGGCCATATACACATTTTCCCTACTGCCTGCATCCCAATGCCACATCTTTTTATCCTTGCAATATGTCCCAAAGAAGATTAGGTTGGGGCAGATTGGAAAGACAGAGGAGGGTCAATCAAGATTTAACACAGGAGGCACTTTATTGGGCCCAGCTAGCAATTTTTTCTGTACACGTTTAATAACTTAGTTTAAATTAATTACTGAACTGTTTCAGAAAACAGTTGCTAAGTATTATTATAGTGCTTTAGAAAAGAAGTGAACGGGCATATACTTCCTGGCTGGCTTCCCCTCCTAAAGCTTACTGTTGCAAGGCACTTCATCTGAGTTGTCCCCACAGTCATCCACACCATTGCACCAGTCCTTGATGGGTATACACCGTTTGTTGGCACAGTGCAAGTAGCCCTTCTTACACTTGCGGCTGTCTGCAAGGCAAAATAAGCAAGAGAGAGAACAGGGAGTGAGTAGCTGAAAGACAATGGATCGGAACGTAATTTAATTATCAACGGAGTGAAGCAAGTACTAGCAAGCCTCTGAATAGAAAGGAAGGTCAGCAGGTTTGTTACATCTACCTCCTCTCAAGCTTGGAGCTGGATTAAAAAAAAAAATGCAACAGGCATTCCCTACTCCCGAATTCCAGGAGACTGACCGTTTTGCTGGAAAAGGAGCTATAGTGCTCTGCCTACATTCACAAAGTGTTGCATACAGAATAGCTGTGTGGTGCACAGAAACAAGCCCCTGACTCTTCTCTTTCAGTTAGGAGCTTCAGATTTTTATGAAGTTTTCCGCTCAAAGGGGAAAAGTCAAGCGGAATGTCAGGTTTCAGCAGAGCCTAGGGGTTGAGAAGGATTAGGGGTTTGTCTTTTTTTTAAATTCCAACTTTAGAAACCCTTGAGTGAGTTCATTCTGTCCACCAGTTTTCGCTTCCATGCAAAGGTATGTGACAAATTTATCAAATCTTATTTTGAAAACCCCTCAAACTACAAACTTAAGAGTGAAACAACAAAAAAAACACTCTTTTTAAACTTGAAGAGAAGAAAAAAAAATATTCCAACAATCTTCCTGATAACCTGTCAAGCAATGGATAAATTCTTCTCCAAGATATGCCCAGAAATACAGAATTATTTAGTCTAGAGCAGAAAAACTGGCTGGGAGAATTCTCAGAGTTGAAATAGAATGTTACTTCAAATAAATCCTTTTTAGTTTTGGGAGTGTGGCTCGAGGCTCATGATTTAATTGGAGTAAATGCCGGAATCCTGACACCGACAGTCTTAAAGTTGCAAGGTTTTGAAACATTGGTCTAGAATATTAAAACATCTCCACAAGCAGCCTAGCTAAAGGAAGGAGAAAAGAAGAAAAATGAGAGAGAGAAAAAAATCTTACTGCAGTAGGATGGCTTTTCATCTGATCTGTCTTTGCAGTGGGCCACACGGTCGCAGGTTTCACTGAAGTCAATGCAATCGCCATTTCCACATTCAAACTCATTGTGTACATTACAGGTGGAGTTGGAAGCTAAGGAAGGGAGAACACCACATATTTGTGAAAAGACACCCATCTCTCAACTCCCATTTTACTGAAATGTGCCCCGAAATCCCATTCAGAAGATACATTTTAGACTAGACACCTGCTGTATCAAGTGAAAAAGCTCTTGTAAGTCCATGAAGAAAGATCAATAGCTAAACTTCTGAGCAATAAAAAACTGGCAAAATATCAGTGCAGAAACCCTGGACACTTCGGCTAACTACATGCACCCCTATTTCCCTCTGTGTCACACTCATCATAAGAAATGAGCAGCAGCAAGAGCTTTATTTCCAGAAATCTGATGGCTCTTTTCTCTATGCACTGTTTAGTGCCTGCCAGGTTAAACTGCTTCTTGGAATGAGAATCTCTTCTGAATTTATTAAAATCACACACTCATTTCCTTGGCTCCCGAGAATACTCACAGCACTGCCCTCTACTCATTCTGGGATAACTGCTGCATGGTACATGTGCTTTAGGACAAAATACGGTTTGTGGGTTTTCTCCTGTTGTCCCCAGATCCAAAGAGGCTTTGAAGTCCAAACCCTGGATGAGTAGATCTCTTCATTCTGTGCCTGCTCAGTATGAGTGTATTTCATAGGAACTATAATCCCAGTTCACATGCTTTTATTCCATTCATGTTTCATTACCCAGTGTGAATACTTACCTCTGCAGGTAAGGTCCTCCTGAAGAGTTCTGCCTCCCCGGCAAGAGCATGTCACTTCTCCATTGGCTGAGAGGAGGCACAGATCCTGGCAACCACCATTGTTTAGTCTGCACAGAGATAGCTCACCTAAGTGGAAGAAAACCAAAGTAAGGAGAATGAAGCCCATAAATAAATGGGGTTGGAGATATACAGTAGATTGGAACTATCTAAAAGTGGTGATGAAAGGTTGGTTGACTGGGCATTTAATGTAGTTTCCAGGTATTTTTGTTTGAAAACCACATCAACAAATAACTGAACCACACCATCTATTTTCAAAACTGAGTCAAACTTTTTTTCTGGGAAAGACTGAAAGCTAATCATATTTCTTTCCACTTGTCTCGGCATGGGTCTTATGTGAAAAGCCTACCAGGATAAAGCCCTAAGCTTTAGTTGGGTTTGTGATTAAGCTGAGCCTCAATTATGTACCACTGATAAATGATCTATCTAGGTCAGAAAACTCTTACATAGTCACTATCAGTGTCAGAAATAATGTAATTCACCTGATACTGCAGAATATGAAAAAGCAATAGAACAACAAGTTGTTTCAGGCTGTTTTACTCTACATCAGGAGTCTTCAAACTTGACAGCTTTAAGATTTGTGGACTTCAACTCCCAGAATTCCTCCTCCAGTCATATTAGCTCAGAAATTTTGAGAATTGAATTTCACAAGTCTTAAACTTGCCAAGTTTGAAGAGCCTTGCTCTACATTGATCTTACTATCAGGGCACGAGAGCCCTGTGTTTCTTTTACACAACACAAATCAACCTGTATATTTTTTAATCTGACTACAATGCAACAAGTAATATAGAAATGGTTAACAATGCCCGTGATTTCTCAGTGCTCAGATTGGAGTTTTCACGCTGAGAAACAATTACCAGCTATTGATAGAAAGGAGTAAGGGGAAAAGGTTGAAAGGAAAATAGTAAGGGGAAAATGTGGTTTGTTTGCTTTATGAGGGCTGATTTGAGAGACAAAATGTTATGCAAGGTAGACATTTGGGTAAAACAGTTAAAACCCTGTATCATGCTGTGCGAGGCCAAAGATGAGCAATGTTTGGGAAACACTCAAATAAAAATAAGCCAAATATCAAGTGACGTCTTTCTCCCAAAAAAGAGAGAGCAAGATTATCACTGCTAATATAGTGCAAATGGATAATAAAATAATCTGCACAGGAACATTCAGAAAGATCTAAGAGTTCTCCCTTTAGGGCCAGCAAAAAAAAAGGAAGGGTTGCCTCGGAATTCATTGCTGCAGTGCTGATTCAAGCAACGGTAAGGTTGTTGTGAGAAGTGTAAATTCACTGTCAACTCTAAAGCAAACCTGGCATGGGCCATTTTGGAGGCTTCAGGGTTGCCACAATGCAAAGATGGGATAGGGAGGGGGAACACTGTTAGATAGGTTTTTTTGTAGCCAAAACAAAATGGTTTCCTGTGGGAACCAAGGACATTCCAACAGGTGGCTGGAGAGAGGAAGAGTCTGGTTACCAAGCGACCAGCCAGTACCTTTACTGGACAATGTGATTGATTGTTTGGCGAAAGGGGAGACTTTCACTTTTTAATCAGATGAAAATCACAGGAACTTTAAGAGTTGGTTTTCACAGTTTATGCCAATATATCGCCAATAAAATTGTCCTTTGAGGAATATGCCTGCGTTGGAGTTCTGCTTTCTATGGAATTACTGCTTGGAACCCTGACAATAACCTTATAAGGCTGGGGTCTTCAAACTTAACAGCTTTAAGACTTGTGGGACTTCAAATCCCAGAATGCCTCCCCCAGTCATGCTAGCTGAGGAATTCTGGGAATTGAAATCCACCAGTCTTAAACTTGCCAAGTTTGAAGACTCTTGTTATAAGGAATGCCCACCCCTTCCCCGTGGCAGACTGCCACCCCCACCCTCCCCAAAGGGTAAGTGGTTCTTCTTACAGCTGTTGGTGTCATTGGCCACGGCAATGATTCCCATAGGTTGCTGGGGGATGTCAGTGCGTAGGTGTTTCATGCCAGAGCCCACATATTTGTTGGCACGCTGCACAGCACGACGCACCCAGTCTGTCCAGAAGATATTGTCACCATAGACAGCCAAGCCGAAGGGGTGCACTGGCTCTGCTTTCAAGATCACCTGTTGGATGTTATCACAGTATTAGCAAGGAAGAAGCAGGATGTCAATAGCCAGATATTATCATCTTAAGCCCATTCCTTCTACGCATTAATGGGCAATGGCTTCTCGCCAAGCATTTTCTCTTAATCTTCCTTTTTTCCCCTTACTCAGTATTTCATAAATAATAAGGGAACCTGCTGCTTTCCAGAAATAATTGCAATGAATTTAACTGCAACTTCTACTTGAGATGTTGGAATGGAGCATCCACCTGACAGATCTAAAAGGAAGATGCTTGTAATCTTCAC